GGAGAAAGATGGGTATCTCACAACCTGTACAACTTACCCATAACTTGGACATGACAAGGAGGAGGAGACTGAAAAAAGAAAATTCTTTGCATCATTTGTCCCTAGTAGGGGAGATTTCTTCCCAGTTTACTTCACCAGCTAGCTGATCCTAACCAATCCCTGGTTCCCTAGATAGCAGGCCTCTGTCAATATATTAAGAAAACTTCCTCTTAGCTCCTGTTGCCTTCTTAGAGATTTCTGGGTAACAGTTGGTGCCATCTCCCCCTTCCAACCCAGATATACTTAGTTCTGCTCTTACCACAGGTCCCAGACAGTCCAGTCCCTTCACCAAGTTTCTGCTACTTTCCTGCATAAAGCTGGCCTAATTCCCTGTTTCCTGAAGGTTTTCTGGGCTCCAAGTCATCCCTTCCGTCATCTCTAGTTTCAGAAAAACTCAGCTTTGCTCCTACTGCTGTTCTTCCCACTTGAGCGTGGGTTAGCTGTATGCTTTCCGGGACAGAACTCAGCAAGGCTATGTGTCTGTGTCCATTATTTAATTAAATAGTGCCTTTGCATGCTCTTCCTTTAATGTGAGTTATGCCTTCATTTGCCAGCAATGCCCTTCTGGAGTCTACATGGAACAAATAAGACAAACTTTACCAAGAAGAATTAATGGGCACAAATTTGACATCAGGACTCCAATCAAGGACTAAGTAATATCAGAGCATTTCACCCACCCAGGATATACTATCTTGGGAAGCTGAGCCAATTAACTCCTGCTGGATGTAAAGCATGAAATAGCTTTGTAGCACTTTCTCTGCTTCTGCCAATCAAGCAGTTTTCCATTAGCAGGAACTGCTGTCTCATCCACTGTCTTAATTCCTGGGACTTATCCTTCCCAATGAGAAGGCAAGGCAAGTACCTTCATCTTCCACCATCAATCAGGTGACCAGCCAGGCAATTCCCCCAAGACGTCTGACTGCCTCTTTTTTACTCTCTTCATTGGCCAGCTGGCGGGAAGGGTGACTGGCACCATGACAGGAGGGAGCCTGGTGTAGAGACACTCAGGATGACACAAAGCTGCTAGATAATAGGGTGGGTAAGGCCAGTAGCTGTATGAAAGTGCCATCAGTTTCACAATCCATGGCATGCATTCCGCTGCTTATATACAGTAAGCAGCATGCATCAAATTCACAGTTCGCCTCTCCTCCTAATCTCTAGGCTCAAGTGAATATTGCTCTCTTTCCTCCCTCACCTATACATACTCTGCAACCTACGACCTCGTTAAGCACTGTTGTGAAAACCACCTGGTTGTAAATGCCAGTTGCAATCTTCCAAGCATCATAGCTAACAGATGTTTCAACAGAAGCAAAAGGAATAATGTTTCTATTATTTTATGTTTTATTGGAAGAGGCTTCTTTTTTAAAGGCAGGATATATGCATTTGCACACATTTTAAATAGTGACTTTTTCAAAGATATGTGTCAACATCACATAACACTAGAAAGAAAAATGGAAAAGATACTCTTAGAAGACTTAAAGAAAACATTGTTTTAATATGAAAAATAATGTTCATCACTTTTCTTTTGACTGTGATCCTAACTATTTGGAGGGTACAGGAGCCCCATGTACATAGATATGGGCATAGATACATATGGAATTTCATTATGAAATGTATGAACTACATGTGCCATAAAACATTTCCAATTCTGAGTTTCTGCTATCCCCAAATAATGCTGCAGTTACTTTTCATTAGAATACACCAGATTAGCTTACTTCTACCAAAGGAAAAAAAATGCCAAGCAGTTGTCTTTGCCAGCAATTTAAATGTATTGGTATTTCTGAAAACTCTTTTTCAGTCTTTATTCTGTTGTTGTTACTTTAATTTCAGAAGTGTCTGTATCTGCAGGGAGCCCATCTACGTAGCAATATGTAGCTGGCCTTGGCTGATCTAGAAGACGAAGCAGAGCTGGCACTGGAAAGTTCAAGCAATAGAAAATCACTTTCATATCGTGCTCAGGAACTGCATGGAAGTGATCAGGAGACAAATTCTACTTTACTTTAGATTTAGCTTTCTTTGCCTGGGATTGCAGTATTCAGACATCCAGTGTTATTTTTTAACACTGACATTGGCTTACTGTGGTTTATATATGGTATGTGTTTGTCACATCATGTACTTCATTTGGCACACAATCAGATTTAGAAGACCACAACACAGATATCAGTGTTTCCTGTGTCACCCACACACTGATATATATGCTTTTTATACTTTATTGTGAGGGAGATGGTATTAAGTTCCCCATATTTCTTTCAGAATGTTATTAGTTTTCATTTAATTGGGTAAAAACATTCTGTAAAAATAAAATGCTCACTGCAGCTAGCAGACTGCTGACTGACAAATATTTTTTTGAAGACTTCTCTGCACCTCCATATCACAGGGTCATAATTCAGCTCCTATAAACAAAGACACCTTTTATTTTTCTCCCCATTCCTCTAATTTTGGAGGCAGAAGGAGCAGTGAGGGGAGGGACCTGAAGAGAAATTTAGAAGCTTTAGAAGAACTACTATTTATATCACAGTGTATGAGAAATTCATGTATTGAATATGCACTACTGGGAAAATTTTCTAATAGCGTCAGAGATTCCAATACCATTTTCTTGAGGCCTGTTTTAAGCTGACTTCAGTTAGTCTTAAGTGGTCTGTTTTTCAGAATTTCTAACAGATACAGAATAACTGCTTAGTTAAAGGTGCTGCATAAATAATATTGCGTAGGCTCACCGTATCTACAGGATTAGTAACCTCTTCTGTTCCTGGATACTATTGTGTGATCTCCTTGTGCTGTGTTTTGTTTTATTTTTAATCTTGTAAATTATCTAGTCGATGTTGGAGTGGGGGAGTATAATAAATCTATTATTATTACTATTATTTTATGCACAACAATGTGAAATCACAGCTACCAGTTCTTTAGCTTGTGTTAGCCTTCACTTGCATCAAGTTCTTCCCAAGAACCCAGGACTTTGTAACATTGGCGTAGTATATGTGCACATCCAAGCAGTGTGGCCTTTTGTAATTGACAGATGGAAATTTTGTCAATGTGATGACAGATGTTCTAAGTGCTGCCAAAGTTTTTGGGTATGCCACCCAGTGTACCAATAACCATTGGGACCACCACTGTAGGTTTATGCCATAATCCTTCAACTTCATTTTTCAGCTCGTGATACTTTATGATCTTCTCCAATTCTTTGTCTTCAAAGAATTCAACTCCAATTCTACTATCCCCTGGTATTGCCACATCAGTTATCCACACTTTCTTCTTTTCAACCACAGTTAAATCTGGTGTGTCTTGCACCAAGACTTTATCAGTTTGTATTCAGAATTATTATTATTATTATTATTATTATTATTATTATTATTATTTAATACCCCAAATATAAAAAAAAATTGATGATGATGGTTTTTATTATTAAATTTTATTTTAAATTGGGAGATGGAAGCACTCTGGCTCCCCCAAGCACTGTATTGCGGAACCCTGCTATACATTTAAGAGTAAACTTCATTGAACACAACTTAGTTTTCCATGAAAATTATACAGTTGCACTGATAGGAACTTATTAAGTGCTTTCCTTGGGCAAATTACATTTCCCCAGGTCCAGCCTTTTATCCAAGAATCCCAGCAACTAGTCTGTCATTCCATTAAGTCACAGTAATGATATATGTAGATATTGAACTGTCTTTTGTTATAATATTCACTTAATATTTGCATTCAAATTTGTCAGATGATGGTTGTAAACATAACAACAAGAACTTGATTTCAACTGACTTAAAACCAGGTACTTAATCAACTCTGATAAAAAGAAAAGCATTCACTTTTTTCATAAGAAACGTGCTCTGTTTCTGAATTTCAACTCTTACATTATTTCATATCTATTTCTTTTAACATGGACTTCTTTCTATTGTTATGAAGTCAGTGGAGCTGTGGAATAATGCCTTCTTGATGGCAGCAGTGTTTGCTGGAATTAGACAAATCAGAAATTGGTTAGTTAATTATGCAGAAGTTAATTTTAAAATTGTGTATGTGATGAGGAGAAAAGATGCAGACCTGATGTTCAAGTCTACCTGCTTGTGAATATTAAGCCTTTCCTTTTCATT